ACAGACACCGGCTCTGCCGCGCCCGCACACCTGGCCGCACGCCCACCCCCGCCTGGACCGGGAAGGGGCCGTGGGGAGGAGAGCAAATAGCAACGTGTGTGGTGCCCGCCTCAGCCTCCGCGGTGCCAGGGCAACGCCACCTGCTCCCGACCGCCGGCGACCGCAGAACAAAGGGAGGGTCAGGGCCGCTGCCAGGGGAGCGGGCGCGGGAACGTGCCCGGGAACCGGCCCCCAGCCGGAGACTCAGAGTCAGGGAGGCCTGCCCGGGAATCTATGGGCTCTGCGACCTTGAGCGTCCCCGGGGCCGCCGGCCCGTTTATTAAAGGGAAGGCGACGATAGCCAGCAACAGGCAGGGGTTTGCTGAATGCCAGGCTCTCTGCCAACCGTCGCCTCCTGGAATGTTCGCGGGATCCTCGGAAGAAACGGCCGTTAACTCTGTGCGGACAAGGAGCAAAGCCCAGAGACGCTGAGACAGCCCCCCCAGGCCACACAGCCGCTGACTGTAGAGCAAGGACTGGAGCCTAGACCCATACGCCTCTGCGGAGGTGAAGGGAAGGATAGAAAAAGCCCTCGAAAGGGAACGGCCACCTCCCCGGGCCCCGGGTCCGTGTCCCACGTTTACAACACGTCCATCCAGGCTGGCCTGGACTTTAGAGACGGGGAGGCCGGGGTCCCGAGAACAGGAGCCGCTGTTCCCTGGGGGTTCGAGGCCCGTCACCACTCACAGCAGCCTCGAGCGTGCCACCCGATGCGTCGGCTCCTGCCCCTGCTCAAGAGGCGGAGAATCTCCAAGCTCTGCCCTGTGCCAAGGACGTCCCCGAAATTTCATGACCTTGAAGCCGCAGGCGCTGGACTGCCGCTCTCTCTCTACTATTTCCAACCACGAGGCCGCCGGCATTTCTGCCCAGGGTCGACCCTGAGAGATTCTAGGCATCAGCTCAACGGCTCAGCTCCCACGGGGGCAGCGTGAAGGGTGGTGGTGGATTCCTTGTGCAAACACACAGTGGGGCTGCTGGCCGGGTCCGTGGGCTGGGCCTGTGGCCGCCTCAACGCCGGCACCCAAGGGCAGGCCTCCAGGATGGTGGCTGGCCCGCATTCCGGAACGACAGGCTGGGGCATGCCTGCCGGGCAGCGGGCTCGTAGTCACCACCAGGCCAGAGCATGAAGACACCCTCTCCCCCTCAGACGGCACCCTGGTGACGGCACAGCCTCGCGGAGCTGCGTGCCACCTTCCCTCCGCGCACGATTCCGCCTTCGCGTTACGGGACGGTGGTGTGGAGTGGGGACCCTCCACGTCTCAGGCGGGGCAGCCTGAGCTCAAATCCCAGCTCTGCTAAGCATCCGAGTGACTGCGGAGACGGGGCGTGCCTCCGTGTGTCCCCAGGTCCCCATCTGTGACTCAGGGGCTCGTAAAACACGCCACTCTGTGAGGACTGAAGAGGTAACACACGTTCGGCATTTGAAATAGTGCGAGCCCTCCACGGGTGCTACCCCAGGGCATCTGGGGCCTGGGGTCTCTGTTTTCTTCATCTCCCACTTTTTTTTTTTAATGTTTTATTTATTTCTAGGAGAGAGATAGAGAGACAGCGTGAGCAGGGGAGGGTCAGAGAGAGAGGGAGTCACAGACTCCAAAACAGGCTCCAGGCTCTGAGCTGGCAGTCAGCACAGAGCCCGACGCGGGGCTCGAACCCACGAACCGCGAGATCATGACCTAAGCAAAAGTCGGACGCTTAACCGACTAAGCCACCCAGGCGCCCCGTTCATCTCCCACTTTTAAATAAGGCACTTGGGGCCTTAGGGACCCAGAGGCAAAATGCTGGGCCAGAGGGTACGCAGTTTCACAGCCCTTGTTTCCTGCCCGGAGACTGATCTTCAAACCTGGCATCGTTTATAGCAAAGCCGATGTGTCATTTTCTCCACATTCCTGCCAGCACTGGGTTTTATCATTTTATCATTGTGTTGCTAATGGAATCAAAACGGCTTTGTCTGCATCTCTCTCTTTGCCGGCAAGTCTGTGCATTCTTCTGCGCAACAGTGAACCGTTCATTGCTTCCTTGGGGATGAGCGGCTTGTGGGCCTCCTTTGCGCGTTCAAGTGGCATCTGCCACAGTCCCTTGTCAGGTCCACACCGGAAGCGTCTTGTGAGCAGGACGGCGAGACAGGAGAAGTGGCAGCTCGGGGAGGCAGCGAAAGAAAGCCTCCCCCTCCCCCCCCCCGCCCTCCCTTCGCCTGAGTGTCTTCAGAGCCTCAGCAACTGAGGAAATGCTTTGCTGGGACGGGAGATGGTGCCGGCAAAGTCCCGCGGACCTCGTCCGCTCTGTGAGGACCCCCGAGCTGGCTCCCCCTTGCCAGGGTCTGGGACCCCCCTCCCCCCCACACACACACACTTGAGACTTGAGTTTACAGCTCGCAGGGGGCAGGCACCCCCGGACACTCGGAGCAGTCACACCCCATCCTGCGCACACCCCGGGTCCCCACACCCAGCACCCCGCCGACCCCACCCAGAAGCCCTCTCCTGCGGGGACTGGCCAGCAGCAGTGCCCCTACTTTGACAGAAAGGAAACCAGGGGCCCCAAGGAGTCATTTTTCCAACATCCCCTGGCCGTTGGCCCCAATTCAAACCCAGGGTCTGGACTCCCCGTCCAGTGCTCTTACCACCTTTGCATGTAGAGGCTGCCAGTGAAAGTCCTCTTCGGGGCCCAGGAAGCCGGGCAGGATGTGGCCCCGCCTGCCTCCCCGGCTGCATCTGATTCTCCACTCAGATTCGAAGTCCCCCCCCCCCCCGCTGCCTGTGCACCTGCCTCTGCTCTGTCTCCCCACGGGCCCCCAGGGAGGCCTCTGCTCAGGTCACCGGCCGCCAGAGGCCGCCCCCCACCCCTCCCTCCACCAGCCTCCTGCTACTGCCACTCGGGCCGGGTCCTTCTCAGCTGCGGGGCCGTTCTGGGCGATGTGGGGGGGCAGCGGCGTCCTGACCTCCACCCACTGGCTTCCAGGGGCACCCCAACCCCTCTGTGACACCGAAAACCTCTCCAGACGCTGCCCAGTGTCCCCCGGGGCGCAGCATTGACCCAGGAGAGACCCGCTGCCCTGGACTCCGGCACAACCGAGCTGGTGCCCGGTGGCTGGTGGCTTCTCCCCATCTTTGGAGCCCAACCTAGGCCTGGTGGCCTCCGCCAGCTGTCCCCTCCGCCTGCGGGTGTCCTCAGATACCCGTCCCACTCCCAGCCTCCCACACCCTTGGGGCCGCTGGCGGGATCACCCCCCAGTTTATCTTAAATTACTCTGTTTCTGTTTTCTGTTTAGTGACGTGTTTATTTGAGTGTCAGCTCCGTGCACGGGGCGGGGCCTGTGATGCCTTCCGCCCGAGCCCCCGGTGCATGGAAGACCCTCAGGAAACCCCGAGTTCCAGAACGAATGAATGAACGAGGGCTTCTCTCGGCTCCTAGAAATGAAGCCCGTCTGCCCCCACGGCCGCGACGGCAGGGGAGAGCCTGCCAGGGAAACCAGACAAGCCCCCTCCATAGCGCCGGCCCTGAGCAGCCCCCCACACCCATGCCCCCAGCCTTTTTGGGGTTCTTGGGCGACAGCGTGGAAACCCGTCCCCGGGGCCGGAAGCGGCCGCAGGCCGGGCCCTACTCAGCCGGGGCCGGGCTCAGATGGTGAGGCCCAGGGTCTAATTATAGAAGGCAGGTTCTGAGAGGAAGTGGCTGTTCTGATTAACACCCTCGGGTTTGTTCCCCCCTCGCTGAGGCCGTCCCCACCGGGAGAGGGAACGTGTGAAATGGACTCAGCTGCCAGGCCGTGGGGGGGGGGGGTCGCGGGGGGAGCCTCTGGCTGCCGGCTCAGAGCTGGCCCGGAATCTGGCTCCACCTCCCTCGGGCCCCATCCGCTTGAGCAAGCCTTGGCCTCCTGGCACCTTGGATGAGGACACAGGGACCTGGAGCTGATCTGATTTTCGAAGGGGCTGTAAACCGTTGTGCCTTGAGCAGGGGCACCAGAGTCGGGAGCTCTTTGAACCTCAGTTTCCCCATCTGCAGAATGGGTTGATGAGAACCGCGCCTCTCACAGAGCCTTCAGGGGGACTCAGTGGTGAGGTCCGCGCTGCCAGCTGGGCAGCCTGGCACACGATGAGGGCTCCGTGGGTGCCCCATTCTGCCGGACTGGCAAGACAGTCAAAATGAGATGGGGGGCTCCTTGCTCAAAAGATAGGAAACATTCCAAGATGGAGAGAGCAAAGCATTAAACCTGGAGCTGATGCCCTTCTGAGCCCCGGTGATCGCCCAGGCCGCACACCAGTGAGGACGAGGGGAGGGAGGGGTGGGGGTGGGGGGCTGCTCCTTAGGAGGGGGGATCCCTCTACACAGCCCTCCTCTGCGGACCTCCACGTGCCGTCGAATGGAAAACAGCATCAGAGCCCCGCCCGCGGCGCAGGAAGCCTCACGTACAAGCTGTCAGGACAGCGCTGCGAGCGGACAGTCATCATCCATATTTGAGTAAAAACCAGGGCAGGAGGCCGGGGCTCCCGCCTTCTCTCCCCGCTGGGGGGGGCCTGGGGGGGGGGGCCCCCGGCAGAATTCAGCTGTGTAACATTTTCTTTCTTAAAGACAGAGATTAGCAACTTGTGACAAAATCGTAAGAATGTTTAACTCTGGGTGGGGGGCAGCGGGGGGAGTTCTTCTTTTCCTGAAGTTTTCCGTATCTTTTCAATGGTAAAAGCCGATTTCACCACTTTGAAAAGTTTGAAAGAGACTGCCTATTCCCGGGGCGCCTGGGGGCTCAGTCGGTTGAGCGTCCGACTTCGGCTCAGGTCATGATCTCGCGGTTCGTGGGTTCGAGCCCCGCATCGGGCTCTGTGCTGACTGCCAGCTCAGAGCCTGGAGCCTGTTTCAGAGTCTGTGACTCACTCTCCCCCTGCCCCTCCCCCGCTCATGCTCTGTCTCTTTCTCTCAAAAATAAATAAACATTTAAAATTTTTTTCAAACACAATATAATTCACATTTCATAAAAGGCACCCTTTGACAGCGTCCGATGCCACGGCCCTTAGTACACATTTGTGCACCTGTCCCCAGGATCAGATCCCAGAACACGTCCATCACCCCAGAAGGACAGGGTGGGCCCTGTATACCCCACCCCCCCCACCAGGGCCCTTTCTCTGGCTCCCTCTTTCTCCGCGACTCCGTTCCTGCTTTTCTTTCAGTTTCTGTTCGTGGATCGGGGTGTGAGTCACTGCGTTGCTTTCTCACACACATTCTCCTTTTCTCTGTTTCTCCTTCTCTCCCTCTTTCACTCTGAAGGGGACACAGGCAAACCCAAGAAAACAAATAGAAAGACAGACAGGGTGGGGACAGAGAATGTCTGAGGGCTCCGGCCAGATGCGGCAGCCACGGGGACGCCTCTGAGGAGGGGACGGTGAAGCCGATGCTACAGGAAGAAAAGCAGCCACTGCTGAGACACATCCAGGCAGAAGGGCAGCATGAGCAAAGGCCCTGGGGCAGGAAAGAACCTCAGGACGAGCCAGGCAGAGACAGAGGAGCTGGACAGGGGCCTCCCTAGGCACCAGGCTCACAGGCTCTGAGGCGGGAGCCCCAGTCAGCCCATGGCCAATAAGTCACGGATGAACCTCAGAGAACCTTCCAGCACCCCCATGGGGGTGGGGGGGCAGACCACATGCTCAGCGCGGGGGACCCTGAGGTAGACATGATGCACCTCTGCCTCGGAAAGAGCCTGCAGGGGAAAGCACAACCGGAGCTCAAAACAAAGTTTGTGGGTTGATGCGCTCAATTATTCACTTCAGAAACACCGAGTGTTTGCCGCAAGCCGTGTGCGAGCTCGCGCAGCGCCCGACCTCATGGGGCTCAGAGTCCAGAAGCAGCAGCTCAGCCCTCGTCCTGACACGCGGGAGAGAAAGGCCGGTGCTGAGATGGCCATTCGGTCACGCAGCGCAGCTCCTGGGGCTCCTGCGTGGGGTCCAGCCCCCGGTCACCGGGGCGTTAGCTGAGCGGCCTTCGGCACATCAGTCTCCCTCTCTGGGCCTCCGTTTGAGAAAGGCCAGCATGTGCTCGGCCCCTCCCCTGACCCTGACTTTCAGAGAGGCCCCCACCCACGCCAGCTGGTGGGGAGCCCCGGAGGGTGGGGCCCAGGCAGCTGGGGGAGGGAGCGGCCCGTGGAGCAGCTGGAGGCTGGCTGTGTCCTTAAGGCACCGAGGGCAGCACCAGGCCAGCTGGCTGGAACCCAACAGCCTGAGGCTCATTTGTGATGCAAATGGCTGGCAGTGGCTGGGAGCCAGGGCACACGTCCCCAGCCAGGGCCCCAGCCTTTATTGTGAGCGGAGCTGGGGGGGCGGGGGGAGCCTCCCCAGGCAGCCTCCAGGGCCCTTTCCAGGTGGGTCAGGGGTGAGCAGGGACCTGGGGCGGGGGGGGGGGGGGGGGCTCCTGACCCACAGCGTGGGGAGGAGGTCAGATCCCTTGTACAGGAGCCCTCCCTGCATCCCAGGCCCTGCTAACCATGGGAAGCTAACCCCTTCANGGGGGGGGGGGGGGGGGGGGGGTGCGCATTCCTGGAGCCTGGGGCTGGGCCGCTGGCCTCGTGGTCCCTGAATGAGTGAGAAAGTGGCGGCTGGCAGGGGGCTCCGGCCGCGGAGCGCAGAGGTCACCTCTCCGGCCTTTTCCCTGGGATCCCGCAGAAATCAGGACACCGCTGTGTCCCAGCCAACGCTCCCTGGCCGGTCCCCAGCGCCTCCGCCGCCTCTCCTGGGTCCCCTGCCAAGCTACGGCCATGTGGACCTCCTCCCCACCTTTCCCGGCGCTCAGGGCCTCCGCAAGCCGTGCCTTCCACCCGGGGCGCCTTCCCCCCACCGCCGCCGCCGTCCTGCTTCGGGTCTGTGGCCTGCGGCTGTGCATGTACTTGTGTGTATAGTCTTCTTCTTAAAGACGGCGCCCCAAACGGCACACACTTCGGGCTCCACAGAACCTGCACCTGTCCCCAGGGGTGGGAAAACGTCCCGTGACACTCTCTTCCCCGGTCCCGGATTACCTGAGTAGGTCACATCCCCGGTTAGGTCATTCATTCACTCAACAAATATTTACTGAGCAGCTATTACATGCTGGGCAGGTTCCTGGGCACGGGGGCTGGACCAGGGAACACGGCCGACAGAAGTGCCTGCCCTGTGGACTGACATTCTACCAGGGGTCACTGACACGCAAGCAGGCGATATTCAAGTAATAATAACTGGTAAATGCAGGCTTGAGCTTGATGATAGTGACGGAGATAAAGGAGCAGGGAAGGGAGAGGTAACGTGAAGCTGTAATTTTTTTAATGTTTATTTATTTATTTTGAGAAAGAGAGTGGGGGAGGGGCAAGAGCAGGGGAGAGAATCCCAAGCAGGCTCAGCACTGTCAGTGCAGAGCCCAACACAGGGCTCGATCCCCAGAACCGTGAGCTCATGACCTGAGCAGAGATTGAGAGTCAGATGCACAATTCACTGGGCCCCCCAGACGCCTGAATGGGGCTGTCATTTTCCATGGGCCAAGGTAAGAGGTAAGCCATGCAGATAGCTGGGGATGAGCAGTCCAGGCAATGGGAATAGCAGATGCAAAGGCCCTGTGGCAGAGGCTCACCTGAGAGGACTCGACACTTCTCTTGTGGTTTTTATCAGTTTGCAATTAAGTAATTATTCCAGCGATGGCTTCCATATTTTCTCTTACCCGCTAGGACCTCGTAGTTGGTACTTGTTCAATAAATAAATGGAGAAAGCATTTCTGTATGTTTTTATTGGAAGGGAGGGATTGGAGCTGGGTGAAGTCATGGAGCCCCACCCCCACCCTGGAACACCCTCAAGCTCATAGGCTGGAGCTCGCTAGGCACCTGCAGGCTGGAATCGGGGCACGGCTCTAGGGGACAGTGGGCAGCTTTTTCCAGAAGCCTGGGGGCGGCAACACGAGCAGCTGGGAGCCAGGCAGAAGAACGGGGGGGGGGGACCCACAATGTCCCAGCTTGGTTTGAGGCACACGTGAGCCCCTTTAGACGCCCCAGAAGCAATCAGGAAACCACTGCAAGGGGGCCAAGTTCCTGCCAGGTCGCCGAATGGGGAAGTGAATTTTAAAAGTGTGGCCCTCAGGCCCCAAGTCATTATCACCTTCCCCCACCCCCACCCCCCACCCCGTGGGGTCCCTGCGGCTCAGGTGCTCAGCAGCAACAACGTCAGACGCCCACACCGGCGGCCCCGCCCGAGTTCGCAGGGGATGGGACAGGTCCCAGGCGTCGGGAACAGAGACGCCCCACCCACACTGGGGACCCCTCAAGGGGGCAAGAGCAGCTCTGCGGCACCGAAGGGGGGCCTTGGAGGGCACAGGGCACGGGCGCCTCGCAGAGCGGAGCCCACGCACGTGCTCCATCCGGGCGAGAAAGCAGGGGGTCCGAGCCAGAGGCGCAGGGTCCTCCAGGGAGAGAAGTGGGGCGGGAGAGGGACAGGATGGAGATTTGCCTCCGCGGCCCGGTCGCGGTAAACAGAAGCTGCGCATCTTACCCGGACGGGACGCCCCGCTGTTCACAGCTGGAGGCTGCACACCCCTCGGTGGGGCCGCTCTGTCCCCTCCCTCCCCGCTAAGCCATCCCCACCGGAGAAGGTGCGGCCCCTCCTCTGCATGGGGTGGGGGGGGGAGGCTCAGGGTGGTGTCACACACTATCCTGGGCGGGGCCAGGCGGAAACAGGAGCGGAAGTCGCTCTAGCGAAGGTCTCTGGCCCCACGGGCGGCGGGAACGCAGAGGTGCGGGGGGAGCGGTGCTCAGGGAAGGGGACAGAACAGAGATGCCGGGGAGTGCTCCGGCCCGTGCCATGCTCCTAACGCCCAGGAGGCTGTTGCAAAGTGGTGGCCGCGTGCCCGTTTTCATTTGGGGGGGGTGTTAATGCCTCATCCCCCCACCCAGGTGCGCTCCGCCCCCCGCCCCCACCCTCCGCTCCCTGGCCACACTCTTGCTTCGCGGGCCTCCCCACTGTCCATCCTGGCTGGGCACATCCAACCTCAGGGCATTTGCACGTGCTGACCCCGCCGGAATGCTCTTCTCACTGTTGCCTCCACACGTGACTTCTGTCCAGCGAGCCTTCTGCTGGACCCACCTCTTAGTCGATTCTTCCCCATCGACCCACCTGCTGCTTCACAAACCTGTAACCCCGGGACTTCTTTGCCTGGTTCCTGATCAGGCGAGCTTGGTCAGGGCAGTGGCCACACCCACCCAGCGCCTGGCACAGAGGAGGGCCTCGGCATTTGTAGAAGGCACCTAAGGACCTGCGACCACCTGGGACCCAGGGACAGGAGTAGGGAAGGGCGGTTCCCCCGGGGATCAGGGCACAGTTACAGAAAGCTGGCAAATGTGCACAGAAGGCCCTGCACACGGCGCAGGTGGGAGGTCTGTCCTCACGGGAAGCTGCCGTTTCCCCTTCTGGTGGAGAAGCACCCACGGGTGGGCTGGGGGAAGAGCGGGGGGGGGGGCGGGCAGTGAAGGGGATTTGGAGCCTCCTCCCCAGGAGCCCCCCCCCACCGCCCCCTGCCCCGGGGCCGCACTGCCGACCTCACGCGAGAGCAGCGGGACGAAGCCTCTCCATATCAGAACACGCTTTCTGGACGCAGAGCAAATACACTGATATTTATACCGCGGCCCCGCAGGGTGGATGCTTGGCTCTGCGGCAAATATGGTCAAAACTGAGTTCTGAGGCCCTCGGGGTAGAGCGAGGCTGTCCCCAGAGGGGCCAGCGGGTGGCATCCACATCCCACACTCGCATGGACGCCTTTGATGACCCGGGGAGGGGGGCTGTGCAGGAGGGAGGGAGGTCACTGTGCTTGCCCCGCTTGCACCCAGAGGAGGCAGCTCCCCTCTTTTTCCCAGGTCCCGAGCCGAGGTCGGGGCACCCACGTCCCTCAGGAACTTTCTCAGGAAGACGCACCCCGCGCTGCCTCGGGCGACTTCCCAGCTTGGAAGATTGTATCGTTTAAATTCTTTAGAATCCGTATGATCCGCGAGCGCCCTGAGTCATCCCTGCCTTGTCCCCGTCCACCTCCGCCCCCAGCCCAAGACGGGGGACAGATATCAAATGAGAAAACAAGTGAGTGCACTGAGAAGCATAAACCCTGACAGGTGCTCTGGGGGAGGAGGGGGAGCAGGGCGCAGAGTAGGGGGAGGGGCAGGGGGTCTGGCTGGGAGGAGCACAGCACAGAACGGCTGCAGGAAGGGCCCCCCAGGGCAGAGAGAACCACCCGTGCAAAGGCCCTGTGGTCTGTAGCCCAGCTCCTCTCTGGTTGCGCAGTTCTCTTGGTTATTTGTTTCCTCGTTGACTGTCTGTCTCGCCCAGCAAACTGGAAACCCCACGAGGGCAGGAATTTGCTTTGCTCCGCGCCATCCCCACGGAGTCTAGAACCAAGTCTGTATACAGCAGGCGCTAGCTAACACATACTAGCATGGTTCCCTGAACGCAGAAGCGACAAGCCGGCTGGCTGTGTGCCAGGGGGGTAAGCGGCAAAGCCAACTGCGAAGCGGCGAGGCCCCACAGAGAGAGTCCTCACGGCCACACCACCCTGTTCTGGGGGAGACACCTCAGGGACAAGCACCGTCGTTATCGCCAGCGCGTGGAACTGGAGGGACTTTCTCTGGCCGTTTTGCAGACTTCTGCCTCCTTCCCACATTTTACTGTGAGGTTACATTTATTTTTAATCTCTTTGGGTTTTTATAACTTGTATGCATTTGTGGGACCACATTCAAACAAAGGATAAAGTAAGAAGAGAAGTCCATAGTCGCCAGACATAGGTCCTCAGTCTGCCCTGAATTGCGGGAACGCAGCGGCCTTCAACAGAGCCCGCCCCCGGCCCCGCCCCGGGGTTGCACCCGATGGTTGGGGGGGGACCATGACCCCACGTCCACCGGGCTGGGGGTGAGCGAGTGGGTAGAGAGGCCCGGAGAGGGCTGGGTCCCTCCCCAGCTTTGTTACACAGGACGCCTCCCTCCCTGTGTGACCTGGGGACACAGCGACTGGCTCACTCCCTGTTGAGGGCTGTCCCTGCACCTGCTCATGGCCCCTACCCTGTGAGGCCAGGAGACTTGGGGCACACACAACGAGATGGATGGGGTGACCATCCAACACGTGATCCAAACTGGAAATGACTCTCCACCGCAGATCCGTGCAGGGAGGCCCCAGGAATTCTGGGTTTTCCGTGCTGATTTCTGTTGCTTTTTTCTGGATTATTCTGTCACAGTCGTTCCTCAGTTTTCCAGCGCCACTGCCTTGCTGGTTTTCCTAAGACTCGCCCAGCGGTGCCCGGTGAGTGGCAGACAGCCCCCAGCCCCGCGTCCCCAGCCCCCGCGGCCTCAGTGTGGGCTCGCCCCTCCTGGGCACCTCACGTGAATGGAAGCCCACCTGACCCGGCCCCGCGACTGGCTTCTTTCATTTAGCGCCACGGTTTCAAGTTCGTCTGCGCTGTCGCCTTTATTAGAATTTCACTCCTTTTTATGGCCAAATAATATACTTGTACAGAGAGATGATGTTTGTCCAGCTGTTCCACTGATGGGCACTTAGGCTGTTTCCACTTTTTGGCTGCTCGAATAGTGCTTCCGTGAGCACTCGGGAGGATGCTGTGGGGGGACGCTTGCTTTACCTTGTCTCAGAAGGACCCCCGGGCAAAGGGTCTCCGGCTCGGACGGCAACTCTAGGCTGAATCGTCTGAAGCTGTCTTCTGCTCAACACTCCCACCAGTGACTTCCAACTCCTCCACGTTCCGACCCCCATCACCCGCCACCTGCCATCACCCACCCCCATCGCCCACCAACGCCCACCCCCATCACCCCCCATCGCCCACCCCCCATCACCCATCCACATGTGGTACTGTTGGGGTTTTCGTTCCAGCCATCCTAGGGGTGTGAAGTGGAACCTTACTTTTTTGCTTTGATTCCACTTATGGTTATCCTTGTGCGTGCGTGCATGTGCATGTGCGTGTGTGTGTGTGTGTGAGAGAGAGAGAGAGAGAGAGCACGCGCGTGCATGCACGAGTGGAGGAGGGGCAGAGAGAGAGGGAGACGGAATCAGAAGCAGGTTCCAGGCTCCGAGCTGTCAGCACAGAGCCCAACGCGGGGCTCGAACACATGAACTATGAGATCATGACCTGAGCCGAAGTTGGACGCTCAACCGACTGAGCCCCCAGGCGCCCCAACACTTACGGTTATTCTTTTAAGCCAGTTTAAGCTGTAATGAAAGTCAGTGACATGGATGTACTCGGGGGGGGGGGATTCTGGAGCTGCATAAAGGAAAAAGATGACTCCCGCGCCCCCCGCTCTAACCAGCTGTGCTCCAAGAGGATTAATAAACAAGATTTTTTAAGCTGAACCATCAAAACCTTAAAAAGGAGGGGGCACCTGGGGGGCTCAATCAGTTAAGCGTCCAACTCTTGATCTCAGCCCAGGTCCTGATCTCCGTGGCATGAGTTCAAGCCCCATGTTGGGCTCTGCACTGGGCATGAAGTCTACTTAAAAAAAAAACAAACTAAAAAAGAAACAAATTTGAATTCTTCTGACTACAGGGCAGAGTCTTTTCCAACTTCTGAAGAAACTAGAGAGAGAAACAGGAACCACAGACATGGGGAAACCTATAAAAAGTTGAAAAGAACTAAGCCCAGTGGTGCTTAGGCCAGGCTTCACACTAGAACCATCTATAAGCCCTTAAAAACAACCCCCGCCCAGGCCCTCGCCCCGGAGGCTGGGACCCCGGGCGGGGCCGTGCAGCACGGTTCTGAGGAGCTCGGGGCCGATTGCGGGGTGTCCCCGGGACCAGAGCCCCGATGACACGGCGGCTCTGGGCTGGGGCGGCCGGCCCTTCTGGTCCTGGGGCTCCGCGCAGGCTGTGTGTGGGCGGCTCACACCTGTCCGGCGGGAGGGGTGAGGAGTGCCGAGTCTCCTCAGAGACCAGCCTGTTCTCTCAGGCCACGGGAGCAGCAGGGAGCTGGTGGCCCTTGAGCTCCTCCCTCCGCCGTGGCCCTCAGTGCTCTTTCCACGTGGGTCCTGTGAGGTGTTACTATCCATTTTTTATTGATGGGGAAACTGAGGATCAGAGAGGGTGAGTGACTTGCCCACGGTCACCCAGCTTGTGAGGAAAGGAATTCCAATTCAGACTCAAGCCTGTCTGTTTCCAGACCCTTGAATTCTTAACCCTCGCACTGGACCATCTCCTGAAGCCAAGCCGGCTTTGCAGGGGGGTGGGGATGGGGGTTGGCGGTCTGTCTGTCCTTCTATCCATCCCTCCATCCGTCTTTCCAGCCCTCCACCCTGCCATTCAATCTCTCCTTCCCTGCCTCTGTCCATCTGTCCGTCCTTTCCTCCATTCATCCATGTCCCCTCCCTGCATCCACTCAACACTCGACTACCTGAGTTAGACGTCTAGTCAGGGCGAGAAGACATTGTGGCCGCAGCCCTCCTCCCCGACTCGACTCTCTCGCACGGTCCCTCACTGGCGAGGGGCCCGGTAAGGCCTGGTGGGGACTGTGGCAAACCGGAGGGCGTGTGATCATTGGGGACGTGGGCCCAGTATCGTCAGAGAAGCTTGT